ATTCCCCATGTCTGAATTATCAGATATACTAGGGAATCAAAATGTTCGATTTAATGAATGGATGATTGCACGCATAAAATTTTATCTCTCCTCATGAATTTCCAGTAGGATTATCTATCCTCTAGAAGGTCAAGGGAAGGAAACTGTGAACTTTCCTCAGATTTTAAAGTAAATCGTTTACTGTAAAAAGTAATCCTGAATTTTGTTATTGGAAAAAACGGGACACCTATTGTATATTGTATAATATATCCAGGGGGCTTCCAGGGTTGGGGGGGGGGGAAACACTCATCCAGCCAGGGTGGCCCAGGCCATGGGGCAGACAATGGACGAAATGAGAGCCAAAACGGTTGATTGATCAGATGCCGTTTATTCCATTCTCCCCACGCGCCTGCCCCAGTCTCTCTGAGCCTCCCATTCTAGTCTCACACTGCTCCTCCTTCCTGTCTCCTTCTGTCTCTCCCGCTCATCTCTCCATGCTCCATCTCGCAGCCTGGGCTCTCTCCACACGCCTGCTCCTGTATTTTTCTTCTTCATCCTTTTTCTTCTGTCCCCCTTGCTAGTCTCTCCGTGGCCCATCTTGTCGCCCTGCTCTCTCTCTCCTCTCTCCAACTCTCTCCCTCTCTCCAGCTCTCTAGTCACTCCAACTCCCCTCACCTTGGGCTGACACTGCACCCAATCAGGTAGCCAAATCAACATAAGAAAGCCCTTCCTGACTGCCAGACTCAAGAGCAGAAACATCACCTAGGGGTATTCCAAAGCCCTACCTGACTGTCCAGTGGCAAAATGCCTCTTAAGGTGGTTTTCTCCTTTCCTCAGTCCAATAATTCTATCAACATCTTAATACTAGTTATTTTTGTATGGACACAGTAAGAGATACACTGAGGCTTGTAGGGCAGCTCTCCTAGGAACATTTTGCCACAGACTCAGATTACAGAGCTCAGGCCTGATTAATCATTCCTAATCCTAGAAGGGTCCAAATCTAGTTATTAATTTTTGGATTATGACAGCATTTGTCCATGACCAAGCTCTTGACTTATAGTTAAGTATTAGGCACTTTGACCAGACCAATCTCGATGCTGGGGTAGCACATAGCTTACTGCTTGCCCTGGTTCCATCCAGTGGACTATGCCTTTGGAGGCGCTAGGAAGTAAGGGCAGCTGTGGCTTAGGTCTAGAGAACAGGTGCCCAGGAGGAAAATATCTCCGAGAGTCACATTACAAAAGCATAGCATATACTGTCTTCTTGTGCCCATACCAAAAGGACATTGTTCTGAATAAACTATGCAAAGGACTTAGGGAGAAGAGAAAAACAATATTTACAAGTCAACAGAACAAAGAAAGAAGTTACAAATAAACACAGGAATGAGAGCACTGTGATGGGATCAACCCAGTAAACCTAAACTACCTGAAGCTATGCAGGAAGGACAAAACAGTGTTATCCTAGACCTATCTTTTGGTACTTTCCATTCCAGTATCTATCCACATCAATGAAAACTCTACCCAAGTATCATGTTTAAAGAAATACACTTTTTCTTTTAAATCCTAAAGTAGCACTGTAGCACTATCCTCCGGTTGTTCCTAAAGTAACCCAAAGAAAACTTGGAAAAATATTTAAGGCCACAGAGATACTATACGAGGAAAGGTGTTTGTTTAACTTGCAAGTAGTCAGCCCAGGTTTGATCCCTGAAACCACATATTAGGAGTGACCCCTGAGCACAGAGACAAGGGTAAATCTTGAACACCACTGGGAGTGGTCCCAAAACAAAAGGGAAAAAATCATTGACAAATTGCCTCAAATATTTTTGTACTGGAAAGAACAAAATATGCCAAAAACAGTAAATACAATGGGTCTAATTTCTCTGACCCTGAAAGAGCCCCCAATACGGCAGCATTAAAAAGGATGAGCAAGGAGAGGCTGATAAAATCTCAGGGCCAAACTAGGCTGCCAAAACAAAGAAGGACTAAAATGACTGTTTGTACTTGCAACACACCTATGCTAGCATTGGAAGCATCCATCAAGGACCTGATGGTGCAAGCGTGGAAGATCAAGTACATCATTGGTCTGACCAAGACGAGAAGGCATCGATCACGTCACGCCATTTTCGACACTAGAGAAGAACTGTTCCTCAGAACATGCGACAAAAGAGGCATAGGTGGTGTCAGTGTCCTTGTCAACATGAACTTGGCCATGAGCATTGATTCATTTGAATGACTCACAACCCGAATTGGACAATTACACTTGAATAGATGTGACTCACTGCTGGCAGTTTCTATCTTCATTGTCTATGCACCAACATCCAATTATGATGAAGAAGACATTGAGAAGTTCTACGTGGAGCTGGAGAAGTTCTATAAAGAAAACCACACCTACAAGATCTTTGTGAGTGATTTTAATGCCAAGATAGGACCGAGAAGATCAGCCGAAGAACTCCACATCGGGACCCATGGCCTAGAATGAATGAACAGGGTGAAAGACTGTCTGAGTTAATCATGTCTACCAAGACCATCCATGGTAACTCACAGTTCTGGAAGGCCGAGTCTAAACATTGGACATGAGAGTCTCCCGGTGGACGGTTCCACAACGAAATTGACCATATCATATACAATCGATGGTTTTGCCTGACCAATGTAGTTGTTGTCCCAAAATTCCAAACGGGATCAGACCACTGTCTCCTTTGTGCAAAATTCTACTTCAAGCAACAGGGAGAAAGGGCTGTAAAGTTTAAGATGAGAACTCCCAGAATGACCACCAAATGAGAGCTCTTTGGCACTATTATGGCAACATGGGAAGACGCCGTGGGATCGACTGGTTCAGCACCTCCATGATTGTGTGAGGAATGCCAAGGTAGAGAGAGTCACAAAAAGATGCCTGTCTTCAAACACTCTCCAGCTCATTCACCAATGTGGCTGAGCGTGAGCCTCAGGCAACCACAAGCTAACGTTCAAGCTCACAAAGCAGTGCAGAGAAGCAATAAAGGAAGACCTTAAAGAGAGAAGAGCAGCAGTGCTGGCCGATGTGGCAGAAGCCAGGAAAAGCATTTGCAACACCTGTCTGTCCTTTGTCAACTATAAGACCAACATAACTGCCCTCTGACGTATTGATGGATCTATCACATCTTCCAGAAGGGCAATGGAGAAGATTATCCATGACCTCTATTCGGATCTCTTTGATAGCCACGTCCACCTGCCCACATATTCCGCAAGATGGATATGTTGTTCCCAACATTCTCCCTTCTGAAATCCGACACGGCTTTTGATCGGTAAAGAAGCAAACAGCACCTAGCCCAGACAAGGTCAGACCCACACACCTGAAGAATTTGCCATCAGTACTCATCAATACACTGGCTTGGTTTTTCACATGCTACCTGTCTGAATGCAAGGTTCCATCCCAATAGAAAAACAGCAGAACCATTCTACTGTACAAGAAGGGAGACAACCACGACATTGGCAACTATCACCCAATCTGCCTGTTGTCCATCCCAAACAGGGTGTTCAAGCTCAATACATTAGGATCCTCCAAGAGCTGTATTACAGATTCACTACCAGAATCTCACCATTCTACAAGGAAGTGATCATCCATGTAAAGAGTGGGGTTCGGCAGAGTGATATCATTACACCGAAACTCTTCAGTGCCACCCTTGAGAACGTCATGTGATGACTGGAATAGGAAGGAATGGGAGTGAAAAAAGATGGTTGGTAGCTACACCACCTCTGCTTCAGTGATGACATTGTTCTAATAACACCAAACATTAGCCAAGTGGCACAAATGCTGGCCAACTTCGAGCGTGAGTGTGGAAAGGTCGGACTGCAGCTGAATCTCACAAAGACAATGTTCATGAGAAACAAACTCATTCCTGATGTTCCATTTGCTCTCAATGAAATGAATATCTCCGAATGCAGCAGTTATGTGTACCTAGGTCAAGAACTCAACATGACGAACGACCTGGCACCTGAGTTGCACAGGAGGAAGAGAGCGGCATGGAATGCCTTCAAGGCCATCAAAGAAATAGCTAAGAGAACAAAGAACCTCTGACTCTGGGCACATCTCTTCAACTCCATCATACTTTCTGCATTAAACTATGCCTCAGAGACCTGTGCCCTACAAAAACAGGATGAGAATACTATTCAGGTCTCCCAAAGAGGAATGAAAGAGCTATGCTTGGAGTATCACGCTTCACTCAAGTGAGAAAAGAAATCCAGAGTTCTGACCTCCATCAACAATCAAGAATCAGGGATTCTGTCTCATTTGCCAAGATGTCAAAAATCAAATGGGCCGGACACGTAATGCGATTTGGAGACAACCGCTGGACTAGAGACATTACAAACTGGATTCCACGGGGATGTCAAAAGATAGCATGGCTGACCCCCTACGATATTGTCAGACTTCTTCATCAAGACCTTGAATGAACAATTTGAGTTTCTTTGTATTTCTGGAGCTAGCAGACACCATTGGGCTACGCTAGCATGTGACAGGGAAGAATGGAGACATTACGGCCCCTGCTCAAGCAAATCAATGAGTAACAGGTGTCAAGTGATCAAGTGATCAAGTAATAGAGTCTTTATGCCCTGACCAGTTTTATTTGCATTTGTTTGTTTTTTGTTTTTGTTTATTTCAGCAATACCTCAAAACTAATGCTCTGGGCTATTCCAGGGCTGCTCCAACTTGGGGGTCAGGATGTGGGAAGCACTGTTTTCAGGGTACTGCGTAGTATTAGGGATCAAACTCACAGCTACTATATACAAATCATGAGCTCTGGGACTTTGCACTGTCTCCTTGGCCCTACACTTGTATTTTTAAGGACAAAAAGTCTTGTAAAAAAAAAGAAACCAAACACACAGGGACGGACACACACACACACACACACACACACACACACACACACACACACACACACCTTACAACCACCTTATGAGCAAATATAAGTTCTCAGGTTGGGAGGAAAGGCTTAAATTTTAAACTATAAGTAAAATACTGAAGTCAGGAACAGAATACTAGATCACCCTGTTAATTTTCTTCTATTTATCTAGGACAATGACCCTATTAGATGGTTAATCATCATTGAACTGAAAAAAAAAAAAGCTTCTGTTTAAAGAGACACTTTTAACAACAGATAACGAAATGGACTTGTTCCTGTTGCAGTAGGAGCCTAAGTCCAGGTAAGAATCTTTGGTGTTTCAGTGTTTCTTCTATATGAGAAACTCCCTCAATTTAAAGGAAAAAAATGTTTTTATGAATATGTGACTCTTCTATATTTTATGTTGTCTGTTGTCTACACATGTAGATCTCTTAAAAACTTGTTAAATAGCCCTTCTGGAAATAGATGAGCCTCTGATTACATACTCCTAAAGATAAAATGCAGAAAACCAGACCTCTGTCATTTGAAATTTTGAAATCCTGTTTCTTTCTAGATAAATAAATGTATAGATAATAAAACATCTGGTTTTCTGAAATGCTGCTACAAAGCAACTGTTTTCATCTGCTCGATAAAATTGCCGTGCTATTCTGTTGCTCTAGTTTTGTCTCTGGATAATGTGGGGGTACAGAGTTAGCTGGTCAACATCAAGAAGTGGAATGTGTCTCAAAGTCACTCACCCATTGCTTCTCAGCCTTTAGGCTTAAGTAAAGTACAGGATCAGTGTCACTGAAAGAGTGGCAGGTCATAGTTTGACTGGGGTTAAGGAAAAATCAAGTTTTCTAAGTACTTTTTGATGAATTTTGGTTTTGGGGGAAGGCATGGGTATATTTCTGGGTTATTCCTGGCTCTGCACTCAGGGATCACTTCTGATGGACTCTGGAAATGCTTTGGTTGCAGGGAATTGAACCCAGGAGAGCCGTGTGCAAGGCAAGTGCCCAATCCAGGACACTAGCTCTATGGCTCTTGTTTTTCATGTAATTTTACCTCTGATTGGATGATAAAAGAATCTGCTCAGCCCTGCCTCTGGCACAAAACAAGCTCTCAAGGACAAGTTCCTTTCTTCCTTTCTTCAATTCAATGACTGCCCGAGTTGGAGACTTGTTATTGTCAGTGGAAGGTGGAGATGGGAATGACCACCCCACTGGAAGCTCTAGAGAGTTAGTAAATGCAATTTCCCCTGTTTTCTACCATATGAGAGAATCTGAGCCCCAAGTCTTGTGGTCCTTTCTTGCAGTTTCTCAGAAACAGCAGAAACTAGACAGAGATGCAAAGGCTAGTGGGGTTCTGCCTGCTGTGCCACCCGAACCAAACTGGGCAGAAAGAGCAGAGCCGTCATGAAACACCTCGATGTCTATGGGTCTGTCCTCTTAGCAAACTATTCCCTAATGCATTCAAAGGCATTCTGTTAGGAATTCTAAGAAAAAAGCACAACCCAGGGAAAAATAAGGCAAATGTTTTCAAGGGAGACCTAAAGCAGGTGTTGGGTGGGAATTGGGTGGCTTTGATAAGTAGCTTTTGGAGTTTCTGCTTACCATAGAGCTTTTCTCCAAATCAAAGGGGAAAATGGCCATTGGGCAATGTAAGGATTGCTATATGGTTTATTACCCAGTGGGGCTTCTGGGTGGGAAAAAATGGTTTCAGTTGGAAGTGAAGGAAGGAATATAAAAACAATAAGCGAGTTGTGGTAGAAATACAATTGAAAAGTGAGACCATTACAGATTGAGAAGAAACTTATAGGGCAGGGACTTCTTCTATGGACAGAGATTTCAAATAGCTGGTGGAAATAAGACTAAAATTCAAGGTCTGGGCATCATTTGTGCATATTTCTAAAGAGAAAGTATAAAATCTCTTTTGTATGGTGTAGGAGACCTTTGACAGGCTGTAAGAATGAGTATTTTTTATTAGCGAGGCTAGAAATTTGGGAAACAGTATAGTTAGAATTTAACCAGTTCCCAGAAACAAGGTTAGATGTGGTGAGAAGGTAAGACGAAGAATGTGCTTGTGGCTAACCTGGTTTGATCCTTAGCATCTCATATTGTTCCCAAAGCCCCGACAGGAGTGATCCCTGAGAGCAGACCCAGGAATAAGCACTGAGCATTGCCAAGTGTGATGCAAAATATTTTTTTAAGAAAAGAATATTTTGTTCAGTAGTTATGAATAACCAAAGCTAGAATGACAACTCATTCATCTTGAAATTCATTCATAGACATTATTAAGTATAGCATTAAGTATTAAGTAGATTGCCTATTGTTTCAGAGCTGGTGAAGATACAGAAGGAGGTATTTTTTGGGGAAAATGACATGGCATTATCAAGAATGAATTTGACATCACCTAACTACTGGTTTCCTTCTCACTCCTATCAATAACTGAACAGGTATAGGTTGTTTTGAAGTTCATCCAAAAAGTGGAATAAGTGGTTCACTTAGGTATACATAGATGAGATCTTCACTTTCTTGCAAATGTTTAATTTATTTACTCTCCTAGAGCCATGGAAGGTAAGAGCCCTGGAGTTAGATCTCATTATATTTACATATGAAACATTATGAGCTGGAGCAATAGCACAGCAGGTGGGGCATTTGCCTTGCACTCCACTGACCCGAGTTCGATTCCTCCGCCCCACTCGGAGAGCCCGGCAAGCTACCCAGAGTATCTGGCCCGCACGGCAGAGCCTGGCAAGCTCCCCGTGATGTATTCAATATGCCAAACACAGTAACAACAAAATCCCCAATGGAGACGTTACTGGGCCCGCTTAAGCAAATCGACGAACAACGGGAGGGCCTTTACTTTACTTTACTTCAGATCCCAGTCAGAGAGGTTGGCTCTGTGTTCCATGCTGAACTTGATCCAAGTCTGGCTGGACTGTCTTGCTTCAGCTCCCTGTTGTGAAAGTGACCTTTCCCTCTTTGATGTGTTTTTGATGTACCTGGTGTTTTTCTGTTGATATGTTTTTGATAGGGGTTCTGCCATTCAGTGGCTCCCAGCCATAGCTCTCAGGTCCGTCCAGCGCTGCTGGGGGTGTTGTAGCTACGATGTACCTGGTCAGGAACGATAATTGAGTTATATAAGTTTATTTTAGGAAGAAACTCTGTAGAAGTGTTGGCCACGAGCTCAGTATTCATAGGCCAGCAATATAAGGCAAATAAACATGTCACTGAACAGAAGTATGCATAAATCCAAACTGTGTTTTTTTTTGTTTTTAAGTTTAAAGGGAGCTGGGTTTATTTGACAAAGTTTGATATTGACAAACTATTCAAAGAGAGAATCCCAATTGATAACTCTTAACAATATTTCACTGTTGCAGATATTAAAATGTACAAATTCCATAACATGCATTAGGATCTAACACTTGCTTACATCACACCTTCTAGTAATATGACACCTTACCTCAAAATAAATATTCTAGACTTAAAATTACTCAACCCAATCCCAAATTGTTAATTTTCTTACATCTTCTTCTCTTCTATACATACACATGGAATCCAGGAATTATAATTTTTGTATCCAAACATTTCTAATGCCGTTTTAAAGTTAAATTTATGCCATATATTTTATTTATTTTATTTTTAAAGGTCTTTAATCCATTTTATTTCTTTTAACTTTTTTATTGAATCATTGTGAGGTAGACCCTTACAACGCTGTTCATGATTAGATTTCAGCCATACAGAAATCCAACACCCATCCCTGCACCAGTGTACATTTCCCAGCACCGTGTCCCCAGGTTCCCTCCCATCACCCCCACAACACCCCCTGCCTGCCTCTATGGCAGGCTCTTTTCTTTCTTCTCTCTCTCTCTCTCTCTCTCTCTCTCTCTCTCTCTCTCTCTCTCTCTCTCTCTTTTCTCTCCCCCCCTTGGGCATTGTGGCTTGCAATACTGATACTGAAAAGTTATCAAGAATATCACTAGGGTATATTTCAACTGGGGAACACGTTAACTGTTGTATGTTGGTCCTGAGTAAGATTCAATTGTTGCTAATTCAGGATTTAAAGGATCCTTCTACAGTATAAATTCTAAAAATGAGTGTAAACTATACTTATTTAACAAGCTCCCCGTGGTGTATTTGATATGCCAAAAACAGCAAAAAGCCTCACAATGGAGACGTTAATGGTGCCCACTCGAGCAAATCAATCAACAATGGGAAGACAGTGCTACAGTGCTACCTACATTGAATGATTCATACCCTATTAATAATCACACCTCTATGCTTATGCTAACACATTTTAGAGACATAACCATGAGTAATTTGCCTGTGAAAGAATAGGAAAACATTTTCCAAACCTCAGATAAAAATTTATTATTCCATATAAGTGAACAAACCTAAGAAATTGTTTTATTTGTTTATTTTTTGCTTTGGGGGCACACCGGAGCAGCAATACTCAGGAGTCACCTCTGGCTCAGGAATTTCTCCTGACTGTGCTTGGGGGACCATATGGGATTCCAGAGAGAGAACCTGGGTTGGCCACATGCAAGGCAAACGCCCTCCCCGCTATGCTCTCACTCATGCCCCAGAAGCTGTTTCATTTGTCTGTGAAATCGGGCGCATGCTTGCTCTTCGTGCTTTTATTCTCCCTCCAAAATGTATCTCTTGCCTTTTGCCTTTTTCCATTCAGAGAAGTCCATGTTCTCCCTTGAGTATGTATTCCTGGCTCTTTCTCATCCTTCATGTCTTTATAAGTAACTTTCATTCAATAAAAACCATCTTACTTCAATAAGCCAATTAAATAAATTAAATTAAATAGGGAGTTAGAGGCTGAAGAAAGAGATCAATGGGCCGAGTACATATTTTGTATGTAAGAGACCCATTTTGATCCCCAGCATTGCATAATCCACCAAGCACTTCCTGGAAAAAATCCTGAGCACATTGGGTATAGCCCAAATTGCACCCACCCAATTTAAATTAAATAGAAGTTAGGAAGCAGGCAAAACAACAACACCAGATGGCCTCCCAAGCATTATCAGAGATGGCACTGGGAAACTCCACACTTCATCCTTGGTCCTACCATTGAACCCACCAGCCTGACTGGCCAAGTGTCACTTGGAGCAGCCCTTCAATCCCCTGAGCACAGTTTAAGAGGCCCAATATTAAATCAATAGGTGAAGCATTCAATAAAATATTAGATAAATTAAGTCAAAACTCTCAAAATTCTAGATCCTCTTCCTCTTTGACCTCAGAATTCCATCTATAGAAATTTATGTTACAAATGTAATCACTCATAAATAAAAATGACATTAAGAACACTTTTCAAGACTGGGGCTGGAGTGATAGCACTGTAAGTAGGGTGTTTGCCTTGCATGCAGCTGACCCATATGGTCCCCTGAGCACCACCAGGAGTAATTCCTGAGTGCAGAGCCAGGAGGAACCCCTGTGCATCGCCAGGTGTGACCCAAGGAGAAAAAAGAAAAAAAAAGAACATTTTTCAAGAGTCAGAGACGTGACTCAGTGGTAGCCACATATTTGAGATCCTGAGTTCAATCTCCTATACCAGAGAAAGAGAGAGAAAGAGACAAATAGAGACAGAGACAGAAACAGAGAGACAGAAAGAGAGAGAGAGAGAGAGAGAGAGAGAGAGAGAGAAGGAAGGGGTAGGGAGAGAAGAAAAGAAAAATTTCCGGGAGCCAGGGAGAAGATGGTATAGAGATTAGGTGAATTTCTTGCATGTTTAATTTCCAGAATCCCATGGTCCCCTGAGTGTCAACTGGATAGAGCCCTGGAGATCTTTGGGCACTGGCAGGTACAGCCTTGGAGACATCCCCAGTATCCACTGTGTAATCAGGTAATCTCCAGTACCACAAAGGTCCTGAAACTGCCACACTAGGCCCTGAGATCCTCAAGCACCAGGAGGATGATTCGTGGTCCTTGTCCAGAGCATTACTGCATCCTCAGACCCTCATACTAGCTATGGTCTAGGTGGCCACAATCACCCGGCAGTGGTCTCTGGGCCCTCTGAGCAACGCTTGGAAGGCCACTCCAAAACTTGAGAGTTTATAATAGGAAATAATGAGATGCAACCTAAATATTTATTCTGTGGAATTAGTTGAATATGCAGATGTTGGAATATGAAGATTGAAAGCAAAAAGCCGATGAAAATGGTAGAACCCAAGCACGTGTTTTTAGGAAAAGACAAGGAAAATCCTTGTTCTAAAATGCTCTCAAAAACTTTTCCCACAAGGTTACCTGAAATAGGAACTATGCCAGTTTTATAAAGGGGTAAAGGCTTGAGAACATTTACAATGAAAGATATCCAGATAAAACAATTGACAAGTAAGTATACCTATTAAAGTGCATCGAATAATTTCCTGAAATAACCAAAACTATCCAGAACATATATGAATGTTTAGGATTCTAACCTAAATTTGGGATACCCACGTTATCATCCATACACACGTTAAGAAGTTTAAACATTTTTTATATGACAATGCTTCCCATGATTCAGATGGGCCTGATATATATATATATATATATGTATGGAAGATATCTTAATAATTATAGTCTATTTTCAAAATTTTTTTCTAAGACCTCCCATATTTACTTCCCCTTTCTACCAATCAACTGAGTTGATTTGGTTTTTCTCTCTTAGTTTTCTTTCATAATTTTGATTTGGGGGCAATTCTTGTCTCACACAAATTACCATAAAACAATACTCACTGACCATCTAAACACAAAAGCAAAACAGATAAGAAAAAAATCCTTTTAATTACGACATGTTTTAATTTACTAGGATGAACAATTTAGTCTTTCCAAGCTGATTATAGTCATCTCCCACATTTTAATCTCAATTCTCCATTTCCAGTGACCACTAACGTAAAAGAAACTTTCTGCACTTCAGCCGGTATCAGATCCATGAACAAACAGAGAGCCAGCAGTCCCAAGGGTGCAGGCCTCGTCAGGGGGGTGAGCAGTGAGAAATGGGCTGTTCTTGTGTTTTTTATCAGTATGGCCTGATGTTCTAAAAGACAGTAACAGAGAAGAAACCACTACAGCCATGGTAGTTGGAAATGATCACTCTGGATAAGAACAGAGGGCTGATGCTGAAAGTAGACTATAGACCAAACATGATTGCCACTCAACGCCTCTCTTGCAAACCACAGGACCCAAAAGGAGAGAGAGAGAACAAAAGGGAATGCCCTGCCACAGAGGCAGGGTGGGATGGGGGGATGGGAGGTAGGAGGGATGCTGGGACCCGTGGTGGTGAAGGATGGGCGCTGGTGGAGGGATGGGTACTTGATCATTGTATAACTGAAACCCAAGCACAAAAATTTGTAAGTCTATAACTGTACCTCATGGTGTTTCACTAATAAAAAAAAAAAGAACAGAGTGCTGAGAAGTGATAAACGGATATACATGATAAACTTTTACTACCTGTATTGCAAAAACCATAATGCCCAAAAGGAAAGAGAGAGAGAGAGAGAGAGAGAGAGAGAGAGAGAGAGAGAGAGAGAAGAAAATTACCTACCATAGAGGCTGGGGTTTGAGGAAGGCAGGAGGGAAACTGGTGACATTGGTGGTGGAAATTGTTTATGGTGGAGAGATGGGTGTTGAGGCCTTGTATGTCTGAAACCTGGTCCTGAACAACTTTGTAACTATGTATCTCACAGTGATTCCAACAAAAATTAAAAGGCCCTCCCGTTGATCATCGATTTGCTCGAGCGGGCCCAGTAACGTCTCCATTGGAGACTTTGTTGTTACTGTGTTTGGCATATGGAATATGTCACGGGGAGCTTGCCAGGCTCTGCCGAGCGGGCGAGATACTCTCGGTAGCTTGCCGGGCTCTCCGAGAGGGGCGGAGGAATCGAACTCGGGTTGGCCATGTTGGCTGCGTGCAAGGCAAACGCCCTACAGCTGTGCTATCGCTCTAGCCAACAAAAATTATTTAATGAATAAAATCAAAGGCCCTGAGCCCCCAAAAAACCCTCCTTTCAAGCACAGAAGTTTCCTGGAAAGGAGTATGAGCTTTGCAGAGTTGAACCCAGAGTTATTTGAAAGCTTTCTGGGGCTGGAGTGATAGCACAGCGGGTAGGGCATTTGCCTTGCACGCGGCCAACACGGGTTCGATTCCCAGCATCCCATATGGTACCCTGAGCTGCCACCAGGAGTAATTCCTGAGTGCAGAGCCAGGAGCAACCCCTGTGCATCACCAGGTGTTACCAAAGAAAAGAAAGCTCTCTGTCTCAAACAGCCTGGCCGTCAGAGACCACTGGATCTAGCTTCTTTAAGACATACACAACTGGTCTATGTACCAATTTGGGGTGACACTCCTAGAACCAACCCTCCTCTCTCAGTTACCTATAGGACAAACTGGCCTTGAGTTTCTCAAAGGCCCCATTTTGCCCAGTTTCCCGTGTCCCGCTGTCTTGAGAGCCAGAGGAAGAAGCAATGCCTTTACCTCCCTGGCCACAGAATCCAGCTCCACCCAGAAAGGTCCCCATCCAGTTGCAGCCCTGCATGCATGCTTTCCTGGGGCCAGTGAGGTACGTCCGGCAGGTCACACTAGGTTTGATGAGAAACCTCTTTCCACCAAGGAATTTCAGGGTGTATTATTCTAGCGAACCAGGTTCTTGTCCCCCAGCCCTCAAGATTGAAAGCAGAAGACCCTAATCAGACAAGAGGGCCAAATTCAACATTTGGAGTTTCTTAGGGACGCTGGGGCGTGCGGCTTCCCAGGAAAGGGGATAAACCTTTTCTGTTTTCTGAGCTCAGGAGATGGGGGAAGTGGGGAGCACTCTGTGTTGGGTGTAAGGCACACAAGATGCAAAACAGAGAGATTGGGCTGGGATTGAAGAGTTTCTCCTGCATCTCCTGGGCACGTTCTCCTGGCATTCCTGACCTGAAATTTTTCCTTGGGGCCATTCTCGTTTTAATCTGACACATATCCTGTCCTTTCTGTCCCTGGGCCATCTTAGCAGAACTCTAGTTCCACGACATACTTCTTTAGACCTTTATTAAGACAGATGGCTTTAACTTTATCAGGGTGAAATCTTAACTCAGCCCACCTGTGTGTAATCACCAGGTGGCTAGGGAAACGCCATGGCATTCTCTCTCTCTCTCTCTCTCTCTCTCTCTCTCTCTCTCTCTCTCTCACTCACTCACTCTCTCTCTCTCTCGATGGCCAATGCCATAGGCAGACAAAGGAGGAAACGAGGCGGCCAGGCTGGTTGATCAGTTGCCGTTTATTCCATTCTCCCCATGTAACTGTTCCAATCTCACTGAACTCCCCATTCTAGCCTCACACTGCCCCTCATTCCTGTCTTCTCCTGTCCCCCATGCTAGTCTCTCTGAGCTTTCTCTCAAAGCCTGGTCTCTCTCTAGTCTCTCACCAACTTTCAACTTTGGTGGTACCAACCGCACACCCAGGTCCGGGACCACATCAATGTATCAAAGTCCTTCCTGATCTCTGATCAGGCTCAAGGGCAAACTACCACTTAGGGTTTTTTCTCCTTTCCTTAGTCCAATATCTTAATTAATGTCTTAATTAACATTTTAATTCTACTTCTAAATATTATTTATTTAGTATGGACACAGTAAGAGATACATTCAGCTTGTAGGGTGGCTCTCCTGGGGATATATAACTAAAGATCTCAGACTACAGTGTTCAGGCTAGATTAATCTTTCCTAACCCTAGCAGGGTCCTAATCCAGCTGTTGCTTTATGGATTATAACAGAATTTGCCCATGACCAGGCTCTTAACTTATAGTTAAGTATCATGGCGCTTTGACCTGGCCCATTTTGATGCCAGGGTAGCTCACAGCCTGCCCTGGGTCCATCCAGTCTCTCATCTGACCCCTGCTTTTGGGGTGCTAGGAAGTAAGGACAACTGAGGCTTAAGTCAAGAGAACAGATGCCCAGGAATGAATATTATTTGGAGTCAATTAACACCAAGACATTACCTGTCTTCCTGTGTCTATACAAAAAGTATAGTTCTTTGCTCTGAATGAACTATGCAAAGGACTTCAGGAGAAGAGAAAGGCAATATTTTCAAGTTAACAGTCCGATTAGGAGATAAAGGTGATTCACAGGTTAGGGGAGCAAAGCACAAAGAAAGAGGTTACAAATAAACATAGAAGAAAGGGAGCACTGTGATGAGAGTAACGCAATAAACCTAAGCTCCGTGTGGCAAGGCAGAAAGGACAAACCAATGTTATCCTACACACCTGGAATTACCATCTTGCTCAAAATAATACATTATTTACTCTTTTTTTTTTAATTTTATTGAATCATCATGAGATAGTTACATGTTTGGGTTACAATCACACAATAATCAAACAACCATTCCTACTCTTCTTTTTAAGTAGTTCTAAAACTACGACTTACAAGAACCATTGAGACCAAATTTTTCCCTGGAGTTTTTTTTTTCTGTTCTTTTTATCATTCACTTTGATCTTTTACCTTCAAGTCAATTTACCTGACCTGCAGACTTTTTTAGGATCAGCACAAACAACTCCATTGGTCTTCATATAAGTTAAAAGTCTTGAAAAATCAAGTTATTCTTCTCAGTTTCAATAATACAAACTGGATTCTGATTAACAAACATCGATAGGATAATATTTTGATCCAGTTTTAGGACTCTAAAGAGCTTCACATTTTCAATTTAACAATTAGGTTTCAAACTTGTTTTTATTCATCACTATTATCTCAGCATCTTGGGCCAGATATTCTAACAATTCCATCCAGGGGTGGGATGAAAGCAGAGGTGACATGAAAGAAAATATTTGAACTGCTAATATTTATGAACATCCAAACGCTTTCATTGGTTTAAGTTCAGTAGTTCGGAACCTCTGCTCCAAGATGTTTCTCTGTAATGTTTCTTAAATTTGTCTTAAGACAAATGGCCCAGTTACTCATCAACGCTGGCTCTAGCCCAGATATAAGCCTCATAGATTTTCAGCAGAAATCTCTTCATCTTCTTTCCATAGTTTCTAGACCCTAATCAGCCTTTTAATTTTTTTCTTTAAGTATGCTTTTTTCTTTTTTATTTATTTTTTTTTTATTAGTGAAACACCATGAGATACAGTTACAGACTTACAAATTTTTGTGCTTGGGTTTCAGTTATACAATGATCAAGTACCCATCCCTCCACCAGTGCTCATCCTCCACCACCACGTGTCCCAGCATCCCTCCCACCCCCCATATCCCCATCCCACCCTGCCTCTGTGGCAGGGCATTCCCTTTTGTTCTCTCTCTCCTTTTGGGTACTGTGTTTTGCAAGAGGGGCATTGAGTGATAATCATGTTTGGTCTATAGTCTACTTTCAGCATGCTTCTCCCACCCTGGGAGGATCCTCATAACACCCTTTATTTGATGCTCTCTTCTCTATCTGAGCTTCCTTTTCCCCTAGCACGTGTGGCTGGCCTCCAAGTCATGGAGCAAAAATCCTGGTACTAATCTCAGCCATTCCTGGGTGTTAGTCTCCCATTTTGTTGCTTTATGTTCCCCGGATGAATGCAATCTTTCTGTGTCTATCCCGCTCTTTCCGACTCATTTCACTTAACATGATACTTTCCATGTAATAACACTTGTATGTAAATTTCATAACTTTATCTTTTCTAACAACTACATAGTACTCCATTGTGTAAATGTACGAAAGTTTCTTTAACCAGTCATCTGTTCTCGGTCACTCAGGTGTTTTCCAGATTCTGGCTATTGTAAAGAGTGCTGCAATGAACAAACAATTGCAGATGTCACTTCGACTATACTTTTTTGCCTCTCTGGGATATATTCCCAGGAGAAGTATGCTTTTTTCTTTTAAACTTTGCACTCGGTATTTTGTTTGTTTGTTTCTTATGAAACTCCAGAGAGTTCCTCATGACCGCTAGAAACTTAGATGAATATTTGGATGTTACTACAAAGTCCATAATCTTTGTTAAAATATGATCTTTGATCTTCAGGAAAAAATCACATTGACCAGTCACAGCAGGCCTACGTTATTTCTTTACTCTTTAACTCTATTTAATTTTTCCTGTAAGAAATTGAGATTGCAGGCTCTCTAGATTTTTCCCATAGGTTTAAGCAAGAATTTAGAAAGCTGCCAACTTAGTTGTGATCCAACACATGAAGGAATAATAATCTGTAGCCCGCCAATAAAGTGCCCAGGTGGCCTCTCCTGAAAGCATACAAACAGGTGAATGGATGCACAGATCTGGGTGCAAGTTCACAGACGGTCCCATTCCAGAAAAGATCAGTCGAATTGTCTGAAGTTCACAGGAAAACGGGGTACAGACAATAGGGGCCAGCTTCTTGGTGAGTGCAGAGGGCCTTCTCCCCATTCCTGGTCCCTGAAGAGTCCCCTTGCTGGTCAGCACACGGGGTGAACGAGTTTACCTCGCTGTTGTCAGACCCAGCGAGAGTGGCATAAGCCACCACCCTTGCCGAACCAGTAGGGACGGGGGCCAACCCGGGGACCGGTGAGGCCCAGGCCACTGAAGGAGCGACTTGTGCCTTTCCCCACCCCCCTCTGCTCCCCATCATCTTTGTGTGGGAAAGATCTAGAAAGAGCTCTAGTGGTCTGGAGTGTGCAGATTCCCATCCTGATTGCCTGACAGAGGTGAAGAGTGAGCAGCTCTTGAGGGCAACTCCCTGGTGGAGTTTTCCCCGTTTCCTGCCTGCGAAGGATGATGTCCTCGTGACAGAGGGGGAGATTCTGGCCCAGAGAACCAGTAATGAAAACAATGGTGAAATGAGGCAAACCTTAGCCAGAGAGACAATACGGAGTGAAGGTGTTGGCTCTTGATGTGGTTGGCTCTGGTTTGATCCCCACTCCCTGGTCTGGTCTCCCAAGCACCCCCAGAAGTGGAGCCCAAGCACTGCCCAGTGAGGCTGTGGAGGCAGGTCAGAAGAATCATGAAGGATGTAAATCAATGGGTGATGGATAGCCGGGAAGAAGAACCTGGAGCCTTTCAACTACAGAGACTGGGGGAAGGAGCAGGACAGCAGCGCCAGCCTCAGAGCGTCACTGCAAACTGTCCCCCGACTCTATCCTGCCAGGGAGAAGAGGCAGAGGGGACAGCAGAGCCCCAGAGCCAGGTGGTTCCCAGGCAGATCTCTGCCTGCCATCTCCATCACCCCCTGAGCACAGCGCCTTGCTTGGGTCCCACTGGCTGGTTGTCATGGTTTCCTCACGGGTCGTAGTATCCATAGTGATGAAGGACACCTATATTAGCCATGGTCAGTGGTTCTGGGGACACTGGCAGGATGATGACTGTATCTGCTACAGCCTCTCACTCCCTTCCAGGGTTCAGTAGATGCAGTGGGCGCCTGTCATTGCGACTGGCATGGCCCAGACACCCACCTTCACCTCCCTCTCATCCTGTGGTAGGACATAGCTACCTGACTGCACCCCAGAGCCACGAGGGAAGACTGGGAAGCCTCAGGAGGTGCACAGTGGGATGGAGGTGAGGGCCAGTGCAGTGCACTGAGGTCCCTTCTCCCAGCAGGCTCCCCAGGCCTTCCCCCAACCCCCAATCTGGGGTGTGCACGGCTCAGTTGTCAGAGAGGATGGAGGGAAGGGAAGAGTCAGTATGGCAGTCAAGAGTGGAACGCGCGTGTGCCTTCACACCAAAGGCGTTTCAGAGAATCGTCCAAGAGAGGAGACGGTGCAAGAGAGGACCCTGCCAAGCTGCCTTCTGAGTCTGAAGACCAGCTGCTACCCTCATGCATGCCCACGAGCCCCTCTGTGCTGAGGTTGTGGATGAAAGGTCCCCAGCTCCAACTCAAGAAGTGCCACCGTGGAGTAGGGGAGGAATATCCAGCACCACAGCAGAAAAGAGCAACAGAGCAGCAAAGAGGAAAGAGACACCCGGGCTGCAAGTGCATCTCACCACAAGAAACTGAATGCTGGGGTGAAGAGGCGGAGGAAGGGTCTCCCATCTCTGTGTTTTGGACCTTTAGACTTCAAAGAGAAGACGCTTGTTTTTCTCCTTGAAAGTGAATGAAAAAACAAAACAAGTGTGACAGCGACGGCGGCAAGATGCAAAATGGCCAGTGTTCCTGAAAGGTCTGCTCTCTTAGAAATGGCAATAAAAATATATATAATTATCGGGGCTGGAGCGATAGCACAGCGGGTAGGGCGTTTGCCTTGCACGCAGCCAACATGGCCAACCCAGGTTCAATTCCCAGCATCCCATATGGTCCCCTGAGCACTGCCAGGAGTAATTTCTGAGTGCATGAGCCAGGAGTAACCCCTGAGCATCGCCGGGTGTGACTATATATATATATATATATATAAAATTATCATCATCACCGTCATCATCGTCAATCTCCAATGCCACCTGTGTTTTGAACCTCTAGGTCTCTCCCCTCTGAAATCTTCTCAGTCCACTTTTATTACTGCATCTCCACTGTTCAGCCAACGCGATTTGTGCAGGCAAGATAATCTCTTAGCACTTTGTAATACTATAAAGAAGCATCCTAGGTAGGTTTACCTTCTTAAATCTTGTAGATAGGTGGGAAGAGACACTTTTATTTTGGCCTCTCAAGCAGTCAGTGCTCAGGGGTCATGCCCTGCAATTCTCAGCCAACTGCCCAGACGGTTCTGTGCACTGGAAGCTGAGAATGCTTGGACTTGGACTTTGTAGCCTCAGAAATCCCAAGGGCCACAGCCAGTAAATCTCAGAAGCCTCCAGGGCTAAATTCTAAGCTCCCTAATGCTAGGCCTATGTGTGTTTCCCCTTCCTTTAAATCAGCTTTACCTAGCCCATTGTTCAGTAAGTAGCAGGGGCTGAATGTTGGCATTGCTTGATGTCAAACTTACTGGTTATTTATGAACTTATTTACATTCTGATTTATGAACTGTCTGTTATCAAGAATAAATTATTCCTTTTCTCCCAATAGGTGAAGATTCCTCATCCAAACACTGAGGATAATTGAAGACACACATATACTCTCTCTGTAGCTCAATGATGGACCAAAATCAACATTTAGATAAGTCAGCAGAGATCCAATCTTCAAAGGAAAGAAAATCTAAGTGCTGCAATGGATTCAAGGTGGAATTAGTTTTATGTTTCCAAACTAAAATGAAGGGGGAATTTTTAGGTAACAAAATGCAAACTCATTGTTTGAAAGAGCATTCCTATCTGAAATTAAAAGTTTTCAACTGAAGCATACATTAAACTTTGAACAGACTGATCCATATCTTGATTTAGATCTATTTATAAAAGAGGGTATTTCATTATTTCTGAGAACTGAGCATTTATAATGTCAAACATTTAAAATCTTCTCTTTGATTTTTGGTGGAAAAATATATTTAAAATGTGATTAAAATAAAAGACACTGTGTAGTTTTTAACCTGTAAAATAGAATTGACCTTTGAAAAGCAAAGATTAGTGTTATAAATCATTTTTCACTCCTGAGCTATTGAAAGTTTTTGTTTGTAGAGAAAAGCATTTTCTATTCTAATCATTTAAATAATATAGTCTGGGCTGGAGCAATAGCACAACGGTATGGCGTTTGCCTTGCACACAGCCAACATGGCCGACCCGAGTTCGATTCCTCCGCCCCTCTCGGAGAGCCCAGCAAGCTACTGAGAGTATCTCGCCCGCACGGCAGAGCCCGTCAAGCTCTCCGTGACGTATTCGATATGCCAGACACAGTAACAACAAAGTCTCCTGATGGAGACATTACTGGGCCCGCTCGAGCGAATTGATGATCAACGGGAGGGCCTTTAAGTCTGGAAAGAAATCTACAGTATTATTTAAAAGACTTCATCCAAATACATGGCAGCCATTTAATTTTCTACATGCAAATTGGTAGAAGTAATAATTCTTCCTTCTATCACAAAAAATGACATACAGGAAAAATAGGTCAGGATCCACCCTGTCCTCTCTGCCCCAAAGTCCAAGATCTTTGACTTCACTTAAAGAATCCAAGAGCTAATCAAATAGGCAAGTTGTTCACTTTAAGAGATTGATCAATAAGGAATCTACCATGAGCATGTTCCAAAGAGACAGAAGAACGTGTATTTAATAAAGGACAGCCTCAAAGCATAGGTCTGTGTTTATTTTGAATAGTATTTTGTTTTGGTTTTTCTAAAATTTTTATTTGTCCTGATTAGAAATAGTGGTTGTCATGTGATCTTTCCCATTTGTGACTAATTGAAATTTGTTGCTGTCCTTTGCTTAGGGGATGTACCTGGGCTTCTTAGTGAGATAGACTTAGTTGATGTGTTAAAAGAGTTGAGTTGGCTCTTTGTTCAAGAAGCCTGACCCAAAAGGGGATCTTTGTTCCTGTGTCCAAGGAGTTGTCATTGATATGCAAAAAAGATGATAGTTGACCCTTAACTAGACTTCAGATGGTGGTCGACTGTGTAAACACACACAAAAAAATGACGGGCAAGGGGAGGGCAGCGGCCTATCTCTCCCTCCGCCTGCGTTTGGTAGTCTCAGGCCGTTTCCCCACTCCAGGGAGGTCAATGGCGATGGTCAGGCGAAGGAAGGAAACGAGGGCCAGGCTGGTTGGTCTTAGTAGCAATTTATTACATGGAAAGGATGTATGTCATGGAGGCCCCAGGATCTCTCAAGCACGTGATCCTTTGTTCTCTCAGCTTCTGTCCTCAGCCCCATCTTCCCAGGTTCTCTGACACACGTGTCCCCCCCCCCAACCCCCAGAGAGCCCTGAAATCTCCCTTATATAGATCATGGTACCTCTAAAGGGCACAATATAGTGATGTCATCAAAAGGAGTTACAGAAAGAACATTGAGGCAAAACATACGTTGCTTCTTTACCTCCACAGGCCAGTAATCTTGGCCTCACCTTTTACAAACTACAAGCACTTGGATTAGCACATCAAAGACCAGTCTACTAGAGCGTGGAGCCTACATCTCAAAGATCAGTCTGCCTAGAGCCAGGCATCTACATCCCCAAGATCAGGCCTGGCTTAGCACCTGGGATCTGCATACCTAAGACAAGCTAGGTTCCTGTGAGATAAGGGAAACTGCCTCAATATACTGAAATCATTTACTGAAGGCAGTTTGAAGGGGAGAAAGTTCAGTCTCATCCAAGCTAGTCAGGACACACAGGAAAACTGCTTCTAGGACAGATTCCCATTTAGCAGATCAACCCACCCTAGAACAGATTTCTCTGGATATGTTTCTCCTCTCCTTGTCTGACCAACATATAAGCATACATAATATAATTCACTTTGTATGGACACAGTAAGAAATACTTTACGCTTATAGAATTTCTCTCCTAGGGCCATCTCAATCTTAGACTGCAGTGCTCAGGCCAGATATCTTTCCTCTTCCTAGCAGCAGGGTCCTAGTCTCATCATTACTTTTGGACCATGACAGCATTTGCCTATGATCAAACTCTTAACCTATAGTTAAGAATCATGGCACCTTGGGCTGGCCCATCACAATGCCAGGGTAGCACATAATTTACCGGCTTGCCCTGGTTCCATCCAGTCCCACGTCGGTACCCTACTTTTGGAGTGCTAGGAAGTGAGGGCAACTGAGGCTTGAGTTGAGAAAGCAGATGCCCGGGAGTGAATAATATTCAAGGCCAATTAAATCCCAAGTTATAAAGCATAATATTAATTGTCTTCCTGTATCTATACAAAAAGGACATTGTATTAAACTATTCAAAAGACATAAGGAGAGGAGAAAGGCAATATTAACTTACAGTACAAGTTCAGTGTCCTAGAAGGATGAGACCTTACAAATTGATTGGGGAAAAGAGCACAACGAAGTAGTTACAGACAAACAAGTAATGGGAGTGACTCAGGAGCACTGTGATGAGTGCAACCTGATAAACCTAAGCTCCTTGCACTCCAACAGTCGACCATTGCTGTGCTTCCACAAGGAATATTTCCTACAAAAGGTGGGGTCTCTGAATTTCCACACAACACAGGCCATTCTCCAACTGTGGGACACTATATAGCAAATGATGTGATGGACTATATTGGGAGTTTCATAGACTAGAAAATATTTAAGCTTTGTGCTTAGAAATTGGATTAGGGCCAGAAAAATAGCACAGATCAGGAAAAGTTGCTTGCCTTGGAGGAGGCCTACTTGGGTTTGATTCCTGGCACCTCGTTTGGTCTCCTGACCACCTACAGGAATGATCCCTGTGCTCAGAGCCAGGAGGAAGCCCTGAACACTACTATATATGGCCTCAAAACAAAAGAAAGAAAGAGAGAAAGAAAGAAAAAGAGAAAGAAAGAGAGAAAGAACGGAAGAAAGAAAGAAAGAAAGAAAGAAAGAGAGAGAGGAGGGAGGGAGGGAGGGAGGGAGGGAGGAAGGAAGGAAGGAAGGAAGGAAGGAAGGAAGGAAGGAAGGAAGGAAGGACAGAGAGTTTAGCTTTTTATTTATAAACAAATAAAATCAACCCAGTATTACAAAGGGCTAAAGTCATCTAACTTGTAAATAGAAAACCTTTGAACCCAAGTAAACCTTCCATGAAAAATTTTTCTTTTAAACTCTCATTGGAAAGCCTTAAATCAATTTCAACTCCAAATTTTATCCTATGCTTTACTCAGCCAGATCCAGGTGAAGACAGACATGGAGACTCAGACTCAATACCAGGGTTGCTGTAAACAATCCCTTTAACTCTGTGGTGTGTGTGTGGGAGGGGAGGGAATGGGGTTGAACTCTATTCTCAGGTATTACTAGTAAATCAATTCTGATGAAATATTTGAATAATAAATAAGCAAAGTGACAACCACAAGAAAAAGAGGTGTTGGTTAATACAATTGTGTTATGTACTATCATTGAGGAATTAATAGGTGTGCTGAATTATTTCTGCCATTAAACAGTATTGCATTGATTTCATTTGCACATATATATTAGAGTGACAAATGGGTTGAGTAAATAAGATGCTGGCATGCTCCTTTACAGCATATTTGGAGAAGAACCCGGAGTTAACAAATTAGCAGTATGTAAAGTTAATTCACTGCAGTCCAATAAAAAAAAGAAAACCAGAAAAGCAATAATACTGGATAACTAGCTAATATATAGGAAGCACTTATTGTATAGCAGGCACTGTTCTAGGACCTTACTTCTATGAGTGTATTTTATTTTTGTTTGGGGCCATCCCCAGAAGTGCTCAGAGCTTACATCTGGCTCTGTGTTCAGGCATCAATCCTGGTGGGGTTGGTGAAGCATATGGAGTCCACAAATTCAACACAGGTTGACGGTATGCAAGGTAAATACCCTACCAGCTATACAATAGCTCTGGCCCTGTATTTATTTTTTACTACAGCTGTGTTAACTGTGTTCTCTTGTTTACTTTCGTAGAGAGAAAGGGCCTTCCTCCAGGTCCAGAAGCTAGTAAATTGTCAAGCCAAATCATAAACTCAATTAGCCCAATTCCATACATAGCCCTGCCCTCAAACCCCATGCTCTCATGTACCTAAAATAACTCTGGTTTGCCATCATGGTAGTAACAGCAGAATGGTCTTACAAGAAGAAATGTATAAGTGGATTATTTATGATATTCCTCATTCTATGCTTATAAAATAAGCCACAGATAAACTTAATCCAGTGTCAAGCAACCACAGAGTTCTTGCACTTGCCTGCACACACTCTAGTATGTGTGTTGTTATATATGCATGCACAGACTCTGCAGGTAGAAATAGACAAAAGTACAAATTGATGATGAACACATTTGTCACTGTCACTGTCTTCCCGTTGTTCATTGATTTGCTCGAGCTAGCCCAGTAACGTCTTCATCATGACACTTGTTACTGTTTTTGGCATATCAAATACATCACGGGTGAACACATTTAAATAACATAATTTGATTTCCCCTCTCCCTCTATTTTTGGATTAAAATAAATAATTTATATTGATCCCACCAGTAAAGTATTTATCTTTATACCATTGTTTTTATAGTTTGGATTTCTTCTCCTTCTGTGCGGTAATGAAAAAAAAAATCAATGAAACTCAATAGAAAAAAACGCATCATGACTTAAAAAAAAAAGCATAAATAAGGTCAAGGTTATGACAGCAGGAAGCCTGTGTGAGACCCTGGTTTGAAAACCAGCCCTAAC